ACATATTTTATCTTTAACAGTAGTATGTATATAATATTATAAAGCAGCGGCCCCCAACCACCGGTCCGTGGCCTGGTCGTTTGGTACCGGACTGTGAGAGTTGAGGCTCGGGTGTGAAAGTCATGGTTTTCAGGGGTTTTATCGTTAACCCGGTTTCCCTGGGTCTTTTCTCGTGTTGTAGTTGTGCGTCTTATTTTGAAAGAAATATTTACATATTACTATGGCGACCAGAGTGCATTAAGGGGCAGAGAGGAGGATGTTACACTCAGTGTTGTTGGCGCGTTTTAGGAGGACGCTGCTAATAAAGTTACATAATTACACAGTGAAGTCACGTTTATTCTTATCGTGTCATCTTATTTTGTTGTATTTATCCGCGACAGCTTAAAGGCCGGTCCGTGAAAATATTGTCTGGCATTAAACCGGTCCATGGTGCAAAAGGTTGGAGCGCTGATATAAAGTCACAATAGAAGAGAGAATTTTAGGGTAACTTTTCCAAAATAGCAGGAATGGCTAACAGTATGAGGAGACCTGGAAGATATGCCAGAAGTCTTTGGATACAAGTCATGTTTGAGCCTGAAAAACCTGCTCTCTGGTCCTCAAGCATATCCCACGTTTCACTGATCACTTTCAGTTTCCTCTTAATGGTCTGAGCGTCCCAGTTCCTGCTGTCTGTAACTGCCTGATTTTGCCTTAGATGTTTATTTCTATTCATTATATGATCATATGGTGATTTTTGTTTGTGCCATTTAACATTTGACTCTTCTGTCCTTCAGTACAGACAAGCATATACTGGAAGTAATATTTCACAAATACAGACAGCCATGGATGGCTTTGAAGATGTTATCCGGAGGTTTCCAAAATGTGCCGAGGGCTACGCTCTCTACGCTCAGGTATGCTCGGCTGGAGATGGATGTAAACAATGTGACAGACTGTAGTGTTACATTAACACATGAAATAGAAACACCGTGTTTCTGTTCTGTTTTAATACTTATTTGCAGTCTTCTCTTTTTCTGTGATACCTTATTGTAACAAAACTGCTTATCTTGATTTGGCCAACTCATGATATGTATTCAAAATAGCCATAAATCCTTACCATTTCCCAGATTTTCTTGGAAATGTGGTTAATATGTGCACTGATGTATTTTTAGTAATTTTTGTGAAAGCATTATAATCCTGTTAGGATGGGGAAGTGTCGCTTTCATGCCTGGCGGGCACGTTTTTACCTCCTCTTGTGTACTTCTCAGGCTTTGACTGATCAGCAGCAATTTGGAAAAGCCGATGAAATGTACGACAAGTGTATTGAACTGGAACCAGACAATGCTACAACATATGTCCACAAGGGGTAAGGGTTTCTCCCCTGTTGTGTGGCTATATTGATCCACATAATATCTCTGATGTGTTTGTGTAAATGTGACATGTTGTTTGTTTGTCTGCAGTTTGTTGCAGCTTCAGTGGAAACAGGATCTCGACTTGGGTCTCGACCTCATCAGTAAGGCAATTGAGATCGACAACAAATGTGATTTTGCCTATGAAACCATGGGAACCATCGAAGTTCAAAGGTGAGTCACACAGTATGTGAGTGTTTGTTTCCAGGGATGATTTCTCTGCTGCTTTGTAATGTTTTCACTCGTACAAAGATAAAAATGGTAGCATGCTGGTATTTCTGTCGAGATGTTTTAAGGAGTCCCATAGTGAGCATTTTTCTTCTTTATAAAACGCTAAATGAGAGAAAGCAGTCAGCTGCTGCGCTTTATGCTTTTGTGTTGCCCCTAAAGGAATATATTTGTACCATTTTGAACAGACTGGTTGAAGTGTTACAAACATC